GGCGGCGGTAGCCGCAAGAGGCACCCAGAGGTTGCCCCGTCCCCCGCGAAGAGCGACAGGACAACTCGAGTGTCGGTCACGCAGCAGCCCACCTTTGGTGGAGGCGGCGGCGGCGGCGGGTGGTTTGGCACCGGTAGCTGGCACAACAGCAGCGGCGGAGAGGAGGCCCCTGCGGCTGCGGCGACCAAGAAGAAGAGCGGTCGATCGAAGAAGAAGAAGAGCAACAACAACAGCAATGACAACGCCAGCAGCAACAAGTCCAGCAACATGTCCAGGTTCCTCTCGGATATGTCGACCTCCTGGCATGACAGCAGCGGCAGTGGCGGGTCGAGGATGAGAGACTACCACGTGACCGGTCGCCGTTCAAGTGAGATGAGACGGCCAGTCCTGGGCGACGATGACGCGGAATAGAGACAAGGGGCGACGCGGAATAGAACAAGGGGTGAGGGGACGCAGAGCTGGCTTGCAGCAGCACCCAAACGGTTGGTGTGTTTGCATGCAGTGAGGGTCGAAGTTTTTCACGAATAGGATAGATCAGATCCCTACAGATCGAGCTAGCTCTCTAAGGGTGTGTCCCCTGGACACAGGTGATTGGTGTATGTTTGCCCCATGGGTGATCTGAAGGACATAGATGATCGACGCATGTTTACTCGAGGTTGTCTGAAGGACATAGATGATCGGCGTGTGTTTGTTTCATGGTGCTCTGAAAAACATAAAATGATTTGTATATGCTCCCTGGTGATCTGAAGGACAGAGGTGAACGGTGTATGTTTACCCGAGGTTATCTGAAGGACACCGGTGATTGTTGCGATGCTTTTCCATGATCCGTTGGACTTTAATACTGGTCGGGCAAGTGAGAAGAGATGGGTTGTACTGGGCGACGATGACGCGGAATAGAGACAAGGGGCGACGCGGAATAGAGCAAGGGGTGAGGGGGTCACACAACCGCAAGGAGTTGGCTTGGAGCAGCACCGGAATGGTTGGTGTGTTTTGCATGCAGTGAGGGTAGAAGGTGTTGATGACTACATGTAGGATAGATCGGATCCCTACAGATCGAGCTAAATAGCTTTTTCGAAGGGTGTGTCCCTTGGATGCAGGTGATTGGTGTATGTTTGCTCCATGGGTGATCTGAAGGACGTAGATTATCAGGGTATGTTTGCCGGAGATTGTCTGAAGGACAGGGGTGATCGGTGTATGTATGCTTGCTCCATGGGTGATCTGAAGGGGCATAGGTGATCGGTGTGTGTTTGCCCAAGGTTGTCTGAAGGACACAGATGATCCGCGTAGGTTGCTCCCATGATGATCTGTAGGACATACATGATCTGTGTATGTTTACTCCATGGCTGATGGTGATGTGGAGGACATCGGTGAGCTAGCCCATGATCTGTTCTATGTGTGAAGGACTTTTCATCAGGTTCTTCCCCGAGCGATGTGTTTTCCCGCCGATACGCCTGCGACTTGTTGTTTTGCTATTGCTGGGACAGGCTTTCTGCTCACGTGCAGCACTTACTTGTTTTCTTCTAGCGCCAGCTTTTCTCTGTGCGTGATCGTCGGTGTTGATGGCAAGACGGGGTGTGGGTGTGAGTGGGGGTATTTGGTCTTCGAGTGGGAGGTTCGAACCCTTCGGGACAAGGTTTGCTTCGGTCCCCCCTCTTATCCTTGTAGACGTTGTCGTAGGACTTGGAAGGCGGTTCAATAGAGGGACCTGTATCCATATGTCCAGACATGTAAGATTTTTTGTTGTTGTCATATGTCATTGCGAGCACGCGGCATAAGAGCTACACTAGAGGTCAGTGTCGGAGAGGAGAGCAATGCTCTGCGTGTGCGGAGGGAGATGTCGGAGGTGACGCTGAATAGTATGTGCCCAGCATTCTACTGTAGTCCGACGTATGCATATCCCTCTCTCACTTTGCCACCCGATGATGAGTTCGCTCGCGTGCGAGAAAGAGACTTGAGATATGGACAGACAACCCCATACGACACGCAGGAGCGTGCAAGCGGCTGCTGACCAGTTTGGGAGAAAGTGCCCTTTGCCCTTAGAGTGGTCCTGGTCCGATGTTGGGGACCTCTTCCGTTGCTAATTTCTAGTTTTCCTTCTTGTCCGATTTATTTCTTGGCTTTGTTGGATTTCAGTTTGTAGCTTGTGGATCACAGGGTTTACACGACATGGCAGGTTCAATAGGTATCTTCGTGGTGCATTCTTGAGTGAGATTTATTGTGGGTTCGAAGCCCTCCGAAGGTAGCTCCGAAGTGAACACTTGCATTTCATAAGTGAGAAGCGCATAATAAGACGTGCATGACCATAAAATGAGGGAAGGTCTATACATACAGTGCTGAAACCTACTGTCGTTGAGTTCTTACATTGAGGAATATATGCACCACCGGAGGAGAAGTGGTGGAGATTTCCTCCTCAGAGTGACCCCGACCGGTGCGTAAAACTCGTGTTCGACGGTGACAGAAAAAAATAGGACGAAAAGAACACACTGGGGTATCAATTTGTCTTCACTTCTGTTGTTCTACTATTATTATGTTGCGGACCATTCACGGGTCCATTTTATTCGAGTATACCTTGCCAGCTTGTCAGGGGAAAATAGCTTGTGACTACGGGAATCGACCGCGACAAGTGGTGGATCACACAGCAGTACACAGACAGGCAGAAGAAGGTGCGAAGGTACTGGGAAGAGAGATCGGAACGGTTTTTGACGAGCCGCGGAGCGCGAAGCGCGAACCTTTTTTCCCTTCATCCCAGAGGCGGGAAATATAGAGAGGCGCTGAATATCGGCCTGTTGCAACACGGTCGCCCCGGTGGTCTAGTTGGTATCCTCGAAACCTTCTAGAGGTCAGGTCAGGGGTTCGAATCTCGGCGTAAGCGAGCTTTTTTTGCAAAGTGAGTTTTTCTCTCGCTTGGATAGCGCTAGTTCGTGTGTACACATACTGTAGGGAAGAGAGTGCTGAACTGAACTCTTCTCGCAGTAAAAATCGAAGGCAAAGTACCGCAGAAGGGGAGGGTAGAGAGGGACTCTTCTGTGTGACCACGGGTTGGAGTAAACGGCACTACTAGTGCTGTGAGCGCTGATTTGAAGTGAAGACAAAAAAAAAAAAAAACACGATGGCCCCCAAGTTTTTGATTACAACTGGGAAGCAGACTACTGCTGCAGGTATTGAGTCCCGCGGCTCTTATACCCCTCCCTAACTTATCTCCTTCTACCAGTAACCTACCCGGGTTGCCGCTTCATAGGTTGGAGCGTTCAGTCGGAGCGTCACAACTCACGAAATGCGTGCCCACCAAGATGTACTACTACTGTGGAATCAAGATGTAGTGTGGAAGGGTTACTTCATTTCGGGGGTGCATACAATTCGACTTCAAGGTCGATTGAAACTGACTGCTGAAAAATCATTAACACGAACGATGGTCACGTGTTTTTACTTTTTAGGCGCGAGCGTTCAGAAGGAAGGTTACTGCTGCTGCTGATGCTATGTGTGACGTGGTACACAATAATAATAGTATGTGCGCGTGCGTGTGTGGGCTGCGTTAATATTGCAACACAATAAATGAAAGTGTGTGCACTACACGGGAGTGTGCAATGCATGTATGTGTTGTGAAGCATCGAGGGTGTGCATGTATAAGAAAGAGCGGTTTGGTTTTACGCGCGGTACTCGTGGCTCGGTACATGTACGCACGCGCGGTGAACTGGGACGATTGATTGATGATTATTATTATTATTAATAATAGTTGATGCCGCAGGAAGCAAGCGCGCTGGTTTGTGGCGGTTTTCTTCATCAGTTCAACAAGTCACAATCACAAACCAACCCCCCCCAGGAACCAACCCAGAGTTTTAGGATGTTGTGTGCATACGGCTGTAGGTTTCATGGACATTGTTTTGTCTACCGGTCGGTCCTAAACCCTGCCAGCAGAGAGAGGTTTCATGGACGGGTGGTCCGAAAAAAACAGATCCATCTTCCACGCAGCAAGCTCGGGGTATATAAATTTCCAATCATGAAAAGATTGTTCTTCGCAATAGTTTGTTTCATAGTCTATTCCTCGACGTTTCTCCTGTTTCTCTCTTCAGATGTGATCGCTCGTTTAGCAGCCAGATCACAGGACACATCCACAGCACGCAGGGCACTACAGCTAGTGGTATGGTATCTAGTCTATCTATCTATTATTCATCTGTGGATACACGCCGTATGTCATACAAGTCGGGCGAAAAACACATCAACGGTAAAGCGCCTCCCAAAACCGCCGACAGGAGGGTATCCAATATTTTTCGGCACGATGTAGTATCCTGCCTCTCCGACTTTCCATGATATGTACTTCTGCCCGAGAGGGTTGGACATGTAGCGCGCGTATTCATTCAGTCAAGTTGTCTTTTGTGGGGTGTAATTTCGTGAACGACACCGCCAGCCGTGCTCTCTTGTTTGCTGATAGTGTCAAATTGCTTGATGTGGTCTGATGTGGCCAAAGTTAGTCATATCATACAGGGGGGCACGT